AATAGGCCAAGCTGACTGTTCAACCTCATAAAAAATCGATCAGATAAGACTGTCATTTAAAGAATCCACACACACAAACAAGACATTGTTTCACTTCCGTCACACACATTAGTATCATGGCTCTCATTATCTTGAATCCTGACAGAGCTAAACTATAATAGGTATTTTCATATATATAAACATCATTTTCAGTAGTTTTACCACTGTCAGTCACATATTGCTGCCTGCCATGTATACTACTGTCAGATATTCTTCAAGTCCACTCTCCAAAATTTCACTACTACTATGCATTATATTAGTTCAGATAGGTTCAGATCAAAGCAGGGCTGCATGCATGCATGCTTTTGTTACTAATCGGCAGGCAGGTGGTGGATCCCTGAACCTCTGATTTGCAGTTGTTACAGTTACAGTATGGTGCTGATACTGATTTGCAGGCCAGGCCATGTCAGGAACGGCCGGCAGGGGCGGGTCCAGCAGCAAGCCATCTCCCTAATCCATGGATCTGCCGCAATGCTCCATCGGAATCGGATGATTGCTGTGCATCCGTTCTATAGAAATGCGGAGTACGGCCGTAGCGGCTGGTCCGGCGCCGGCACCGGTGAAGACTACGACAGCAATGAAATGCAAGAACTATCTTTGACTGAAATCAAATCAAGCGCTAGAAAGAAATTGCTTTTGTGCATCCACATGACAAACGCCGATCGGATCTTGGATGCTTTGTGCAAGGAATTGCAGCAGATTCAACAAATTGCCACTCGGGTCTGGGAGGAAGGAAAATTACACGTATAGATAGGGGATATCTAGATCTAGATGTATGTACCTGTCATGCGGCACTTCAATCCCAGGAGCAAGGTTCTTTCTCATGGCGACTAGGGATATGAGCACGGGAACGGGAGCCGCCAGCCCACCACCGACGACGGAGATGCTGCAGCAGGGAGGCCACCATCGGCTGTCGTGCTGCAGCCGCGAAGGTTCCCGTCACGCCGGTGCCGCTGCACAGGTAGGGTTAGGGAAGGTACAGTGCGAGGGAGCTCTGGGGAAATTTGGAGAATCCAAGAATGGGGAAGTCCGGCAAGACTAATGAGTTGAGGGGAGATTGAGGCAAGGTTAAAGCGCGCTGGGGCAGGATTTTGCACGCCTGCGAGGGGATTTTGCGCGCGCAGCGTGGCGCCATTGCGCGAGGCGGGCGCAAGAGTGGTCAAGCGCCCAACATCTTTTTTTAAGAAGTGGTTCGTGTGGGCAAAGTATTATAAGTAATTTAGATAGTAAGCTATTTTAATTAAATTTTAAAGTTTATTATTTATTTTAAAAATATTTGTAAGAGTTTTTTAATATGTTTGTAAGAGTTTTTCAAAATGTTTGTAAGAGTTAAGCAAACTGAAAGTATTAATACTCAAAATTGGCCGAAGGGGGATAATCCTAATCCTAAATATTCTAGAAAAACAAACTAAGTCGGTTTTAGATTAGGCTAAACCAAAATTGACGACTTACTCAAAATGCAAAATAAGCTCCACCATTGTGTTCCACTCGTCAAGGCAATTAAAAAACATACATAGATCGCCCAATCTGAAGTTTGTACAAAGAAATTGTAACTTCAAAAAGAATCATCCTGCAAAAGTCGGCAAGGCCGGTTTTTGCCATGTTTCCTAGCTTGAAACAAAAATGGCTAAGCCGGCCGGTTTGCCTAGTCTGAATCGAAAACTATGGAACAGGAATAGGGAGCTATCTCCCAATTGACATCTCCATACACATGTTCATATGGCATGATTGGTTCGCCGAGAAGACGCAGGCGAGCTCATAACAGCCAGCGCAGACTCCCCTTTGCCGGCCTAGTTCCATCCACGGGTGCGAACCAAGCTGTTTGAGTCTCAGATACACGCACGAAGTGCCGGTGGGTGGTAGCACATCACCGATGGAGCTTGTCTCACTAGAATGGATTTTGTTTTATCTGGAACCTGGGCTCGTCGCGTCATTTTGAATTTGCCTAACCTGGCCAGCTACGCACATAGGCAACCCAACAATCACATCATGTATCCCATGGCCAGGCTCTTCCATACTCAAGAAACAAATCATGTCCGTGGGCTTCTATCTCACTACCAGTAGGTTTTAATGTGACTAGTGGATAAATTTATTTTCTTACAGAAAAAATTAGTAAAAAAACATTTTATATCCTCCAACGTGGAAACCCTAGTCCTCTTCATGCACTCATCGTATTCGTCCACTACCTCCAAGGGCTCAAATCTTGGATGCACGTCCTTTCCAAATCATCACCCACATTCCCTCCAACCATCGATCCACACTCCCAACCTCCTCCTTTGCTTCCGAAATCCCCACCTCCTTCCACATCGCCATCGACAGGTTGACAGTTAGAGCACTCGATTTTGTAATCATTATATTCTTTAAAAATTGCCCAAACAAGAATTGAACATGTCACCTCTTGCAATCTGTTGACAACCAAAATTGGGTGAAGTTGAGGTGGCCAACACACACAATCAACACAAAAACTAATCTATTTTACTTCTCTTTGCCTTAATCTCTTCCAACCTCCATGCTATTGTTCATCGCTTGATCCGACGACCAAGGATGCTGTCCTAGACTTGTCGGCCGACTTAGGGCAACCTGGGGACATCCTAGCCCCGACGGGGTCTGTTTAGGCGAGAGTTTTGATGTTTCTTTGCTAGTTTGTCTGGAAATTAGTCTTTCTTCGTCAAGTAAGCACGATTAGTTATCCTTTGGTAGTTTGCTTGTAAACCTCATTGTTCTTCACCACATAAATGTGATCCTCGTTGCCCTAGGGCATTCTCGGGCTCAACCCAAGAAAACCGACTAGGCATTCTCCTTGAATCAACTAGGTCGGTTTCTGCAGAGTCGTGCCGCCTCGGTCTATTTGTGACCGGTGCGATCTTACACTTGTAGTGTGTAACTAATTTTTATGTCAACACAACCATTAGTTTCCTTTTTATACTCCTATAATCATCATATGTTTTTGGCAACAATACGAGTACAAACATGCATTTGTAAATATACGTGTTGCAAAAGAAATTACCTTTATTTGGAGCATCTATGCTGCCATCTACAGAAGCAAGATCATTGCTTCAATTTTTTTAATTAAAACCTTTTTTGAGATTTTAGATTTTAACTCATATCATTTGAAAAGATAAAGTTGTTTTTAGATTAGAACTTTGCCACTAGCTAAATCCGAATTCCATCCGAATTTTCCACTCCCGCGTTCAGCTGTCGCCGGTCCGGCCCAAATAACATATCCCCTGAGGCCCCACGTCAGTTACCCTAGCTGGCTAGCTCCTCCCACCTCAAAATTCCCCACGGCGGCGGCTGCTCTCTAGAGCGCCACATCCCATGTCACCGGACCCGGCCTTGCGGTTGCGGCCGGCTCGTCCGCGCCCTCCTTTCCCTTTCCCCGAACTCTCTTACTCCTCCATCCACTCAGCTCTATCTATGGATTCATCCATATCTACTACGCACAGGCGCTTGCGCCACTGTGACTGCGGGAGACCGAGGGCCATCCACAGGTGGCGGTGGCAGATCCACGGCCGGCTACTATGGATCCACGGCCAGCGGCAACGGATCCATGACGAGCGACATCCCACCTGCCTCTCACTGCAGAAGACGTGGGGGATGGCCGTGGTGTGTGTAGGACTCATGTTGCGCTGAAACCTCAGCAAGGTGAAGTCCCCCCTCTCTCTTCCTCCGTCATGTTCCTGTTTCTCTATTTCTGTATGCATTAGTTTCCCTTGCCACTTGTAACAGGTCGGATAAATCAGGTGCTGGTTTAATATTTATCCTTGCGGATCTAGAGGCAAGAGGGGTATTCTGCTTTCTCTCTGTTTGTATCAGTTTGCTATTTTATCGGGAATATAAGTGCATCTCTGTCAACAATGAGGCATGTTATTAATCCAGAAATGTGTAGCCGTTCACTGGTGCAGTGACGCCTTCTTGTCAACTTCAATAATTTTATTCTATCCTTGTTCCATCATCTTGTTACGGTGTGCAAGTGCAACTAAAAGAGATTAAATGTTGTGAGAGGATAGCAGCATTACTTTGTGCCTAAAACATTGTAACAGTAATATTTGGTCTCTAATATTTAGTAGCAATTCATTTCATATGGCCTTTTAGTACTAGAAAATATGTAGGGAATACTGATTATGTTTGCTCCGATTCAGATTTCACAGCAATTTATAAAACTGTCTACTTAAGAACAATACTGAACATTGTCAGTGTCAGTGGTAGTATGCAATTTATAGTAGCACTAAGCAAATGAGATGTGGTAAATTGTCTACTTAAGGCCATATTGATGCCTACAAGAGTTCACCTCTTAATCGAGGCATATATGATTACTGATAAAATTTCACTGGTGTATCTTATTCATTTGTTCTTTCCTTAGCAAACTAGGTATTTTCTTTAAATAATTTACAAGAGCTGAGTCTACCTTCTATGTTACTTCTATCATAATTTACATGGAAATGTAAGGGGTAAGGATCTGTACCAAATTTCCCAACCTATTCCCTCAAATTTTCCCAACAGACCCCTAACTCCTACTTCCATGCCCCTAATTAAATATCCTGATACTTCCACTCTTTGTACCTTTGCTTCATTTGTCGGGTCCGTTGATATAATTATTGTCCATTGATACAGTAGGTACTCCAAAGGTTGAGAGACTTGCCTAGACCATATTTGCTAGCGCATTCTGTTGAAGGCACACACTTTACTGTGAGAAGTGTAACCTTCAGTTCCTCAGTTTGGGTTTTGGAGTTTCCAGAGTTGGGGAATAGATAGCTGGGTACCCTGAGCACTTGATCTTGTTTGCATGTACTAGATAGCTGGGAATAGATATTTATTTTTGCAATTTGTATCGTATCAAATGATAGAGGGTGTGCTGGTATTGGTACTGCAGGTCTGTAGGCTGATCATTATATTTGCATTATATTACAGTGACTGCATTTTCAAAACAAGGGAGCAAGAGCAATGTCAACCCCTGGCACATGTGGATCTCAAGCAGTGCAGCTCAAGGCGGTGCTGGTGCATCTCAAGAGGATGATGTTGCTGTTGGTGATAAAAGGAAACAACAACAAAACAGCAAGCTGAAATATGTTGTTTGGAAAGAACTATATGTTACTGAAATTCTATCATGTTTGCACATACTAGTCATGTTGAATGTTATATGCAGAGCCCGTTCAGTTACATCAAGTCAATATAGTAAATTTTAACCTGTTTCATGCATGCATATTATTCTGTTCCTATCAATTATTGTTGCTTGAATTGTTGAATGAAGACATCTCATTTCTGAAATTGCAGCAGAGGCTGATGAAATTGCAGTAGAGGGCAACTGAGCCGACAGGCTGCATCTGCTTCTTCCATGGCTGCAGCATTTGGCGGTGGTTTCACGAGCACCTCTTCCTCAGTCGGATCATTGTAGGTCGTTCTGTCAAAGCTCTTCCCACTTTATGTTTTTCCTTGTCAGAGTGCAATAGGTTCAGAATTCTTATCAGAGTCCTTAGTTGATTTGGACATAAATAAAACATTGTGCCAAGCCTTGACATTTATTTAATTTTTCTAAGATGTGGCTGGAGATGTGGGCTGCATTTCAAACAAAGGAATTGCTAAATCTCACCTGAGATTTATTTTGCACTATCCCTCCCGACAAAGCATTATTGGCTTTCACATGTCCATTATAGAACTGCATGAGGCATAGTTCTTTTTCTGGAGCCTGATTTTGGCAACATATACGCAATGTATGTTTTAGCAACTGTATATGTGATTAGAAGTGCAAAACCAAACAATGACTGGTAGTCTGGATGAAGTTCCAGCATAGTTTAGAAACTAGTGATAACAATTAACTGAAATTACTAGATTTCTGTGTCCGCAGCTTGCTAGATTAACTGAAATGATTACTCCACATACACTGAATTTTTTTTTGTTGATTTTTGTGTCTGCAGCTTGCTGCTGCATCTTACCTTTGCCACTCAAATTTAATAGTATGCAAAATTATGTTTGCTAAGCCTACACTATTTATTTCTGACATTAGTTTGCAAATGATACTGTGTCATACCTGAGATGCCTAGTCCGTGTTTCTGTTATTTGGAAGATTCAACGATACCTTATTGTGTGATGCCTACTTTGCAAGTGCTTCTGTTCATGCAGTCATTTGGAAGATTATGTGATGCCTATCGTGATCCAGATATGATTTATTTTCTGTACAGCTGTTGCATGCCCAGATTTCTGGGAACTTGCTGGAAAGCAAGTTGCTTATGTTAGATGCTTTATGTAGTTAATTATGTTCTTTAAAGTGATTTGAATAGAGCTGGGCTACTCGGTAAACGAGTGTCTAGTGATGTATGTTCTCATAACATGTTTTATTCATTTATCTCCAATGTCATACATATCTCTGAAATGCTAGAGTTCAACTGTCCATTGCTTTTTACCTCTCAACATGCTTTGTTAGGAATCATATTTGCATGATTAACATGGACTTGGATTTTTTGAGGAAGTAATCAGTACATGAATCTAACTGATACAGTTTGTTTTCCAAAGTATCCATTTTACCTAATTCTTATTATACTTGAACTGGAACTGCTGTTGCTACTTGCTAAAGTTGAAAACACTAATTGTGTTCTTAAATTTAGGAAAGCGCCTTCTCCAAAATTGCAGAGAGAATTGAGTTGGAAGCTTCTGTGATTTCAAAAGAACAAGAAAGGCACATTCTTCATGAAACCTACAAGGAAACCACTGGATGCAGGAGCAGGAAAGGTCCTGGACATGGATACTTGGCAAAGTATCCGACCCGAAGCCAACTTATGAATGAACGAATTGAAGAGCAAGCTCGTGCATCTGCATTAGCAGCAGCAGCCCAACAGAAGAATAGTGAGATGCAAGCTGAGGTAGAGAAGTTAAAAGAAAAGCTTACCGTTCAAGCCGCTGAGAGGGAGAGCGACAAGGAAAAAATTCAGCAGCTGCAACATCAACTGGAGAGTACAAGTAGCAAGATTAGAGAAGAACTAAGGCAAGAGTTTTTTTCACTAATCAAACAACACAATTAAGCACCGCCTTTGGTAATAATACTACTTCTTAATTGTTACCAACATCATTGATTTTAGTAAAGCTTGATTGCTAATGTTTCTCCTTATAACTTCAATGCAAGAATGCTGCACCAACCACAATAACCCCTCAGCCTGCAGAAAATATGGTTAGTGGAAATGAAGGTGTAGATTTAGCACAGATATTATTTTTTGATAAATGCAAACCATGATGTAATGGATACCTACATTTAATCTGACATAATGTGTGAATATTTTTTTAAAATATGAAGGCTGGTACAGAATCTGCCCTGCCCACACATAATGAACCTGCTGTTGTTCCGACTCCCATCCAAGGATCAGAACATGTGCAACAGGTAATATACTTCAAAATTATCACCTGCAGTTGAACAGATTCTTAGAATTGCTAAGTGGTGATTGCTCCTTCAAATCTTCTGGTTTTTACAGACTGTACGAGACAGTGTATTGTTGAGCAAACAGAAGAGTATCCAACCTAGTCGCCTCACTCGCAGCGCCAACAGATCACTTTTCCCAAATGATAAAGATAGTAATGAGACAGTGACATTTATTACATCACAAACACTGAGGAATACTGCTGCAAATAAAAAGCTACAATGCAGAAAGAAAGGAGGAAAGGTATGAGCAATCAGGTGTCATTTTAAGTTGTCCAGATTATTAACATGAACTTTGTTCACTTATACATGTATGTTTGTTCACTTAACATGAGCAATCAGGAGTTCATGCCTTATGTGTTTATAGTTCGGCTTTAGTATCCATTCTATTTGTTAAACCCAAAAATATTGTTGTCTATCATGTGTTGTCTATGTTTGATTCCAACTGTGTGATCAACTATATATATTACTAATGCATGTCATTTTGACTTTTTCAGGAAGATCAACCTTGAGGGAGTCTTGGTAAGCTGAAATGAATCAAATATTGTGCAACGAGAAAGATGTCATGTTGATCTGTGCTAAGAGACATGTATTTTTGTTTATGATTGCCTATTTGTAGCATAAGTTAGTGGTTTGTAATGCAGTTCAACTTTGCAATTACCTATTTGGAAATAGGAAGGCATTTGACTTCCTTACATTGTACAAACTATTGAATGCTTATGATTCAAGTTATTAATATGATTGCCTTTTTGTGTCATTGAATTTTGTAATTTTATGAATTTCTGTGCAATGAATTTGATGCAATAATTGGTTGCCCTTCAAATCTCATGTCGATGCAATAGTTTGTATTGCATCCAAGCTCATGTCGATGTGATAGTTTGTATTGCATCTAACCTCATGTCGATGCAATAGTTCGAATTGCATCGAACATAACGTCGATGCAATAGTTCCTATTGCATCGAACCAAAATGATGATGCAATAGAACCTCTTGCATCGAATCAAAATGGTGATGCAATAGATTATATAGCATCGAACCTAATATGGATGCAATATAGTCTATTGAATCGAACGATAGCCGTTGCAATAGATGTATTGCATCAACATGATTTGGATGCAATAAGCTATTGCATCTCTCAATTTTGATGCAAGAGACAACGGATGGACGATGCAATAGCTGCTTCTCGCATCAACCACAAGTAACCGATGCGAAAGGCTATTGCATCAAGACCACTTGCATCGGCTGGCATCAAACGAGAAATTGATGCGAAACCGAACTATTGCATCTATTTTAGACCTATAACATCAAAAATTGACCAGTGCAACAGGGTCCCCACCTCTGCCTCTCCATCGGTTCCCATGAAGCGCTCCAGGTCCTCCTTGAGGAATCGTGGCCGGGCTCCGGTTCATGCTTCCTCCAATGCGCTGGCGCACCCGCTTCGATGCCTGCTCATACCCTTCTTGATTGCTAGTACCCGTCGCGCTCCCACATGCCGTCTCCTAGGCTGCCATTTGTCTTCCCATCACCCACAACGACACCGTTGATGCCTCTAGGACCATTGGTTCCCTCGCCACCGCCGCTCTCGATGTGGTCCACCTCGCCATCATCGCAGGCCCCGCCATGGTCCTGCACGTGGTCTCCTAGGCTAGCATTGGTCTCCCTATCACCCATAATGATGACGTTGATGCCACCGACACCGGTGGTTCACTCGCCACCGCCGCTCCCAGTGCGGTCCACCTCGCCATCATCGCAAGCACCATCGTGGTCCCGCACATCGTCTCTAGGTTGGCATTGGTCTCCCCGCACCCACAATGATGATGTTGATGCCACCGACACCGGTGGTTCGCTCGCCACCACTGCTCCTGGTGTGGTCCACCTCACCATCGTTGGTGGCCCCATCATGGTCGAGCTCGCTGTCGCCGGATCCGCTCCCGGTGCCCCATGGCGGGAGTGGGTCTCCTAGAACATCGTGGTCTTGCTTTCCATCCACCGAGGACATGTCCGAGGGATCTATGGTGGTGGCCCCATTGTGGTCGAGCTCGCCTTCACCGGATCCGCTCTAGGTACACCATGACGGGAGCGGGTGAAGTGATCCTCCGGTTCGACGTGGCGGAGAGGTTTACTGGTTTCAACCTAGGCAGGTTTACCTTGTAGGCAATGGATTTTAATCGTGCCTGTTGATACCCTTGTTGCTTAGAGCTGTGGGATGGCACAACTCATTAAATTAATTAGTAGTATCAAGTCATGTAAACATTTGTAGTTAGGACGAGTACGCTTCCTGGTGCTCATTACTACTACGAAGTCATGTTAATCATCTCTAGTTAGAACTAGTATGTTTATGTAGTAGTTGTATGACTTTGAGTAGTGTGGTACGTTTCTCCTCTTATTATGGTCGATGAAGGCATGGTTATATAGTCTAAATTTGTATCGTTGCTGTACTCCACACACACACACACACACACATATATATATATATGTTATCTTTCTAATAGCACTGCTCTCCTCTTATTATGCATGTACCCATGCCTAGCTCTATAAAACCAACCAAGACCCAGGAATAGGTGCCTAATCTTTTATGCCACCAAAACATAGTCCGGCCATGTTGTATTAGACGAGGCTAGACCATATATTAGGTGTTCAGCCAGCTCTTTTATCTTGGACATGCAAAATCAACAACCAAAGGACAGTCCACCCCCTCGTGTTGCCACAGGGCGAACATGCAAAAAAGGGTGTAGAAGTGGAAGGGCAACAAGATGAGTTAGGCAATGGTTTGAACTTGGTTAATTGTGGTATGTATCGGGATGTCAATAATGCTGATGTATCTCAATCTGTATTTGGCAGTGCACTTGTTTATTTAGTGTTTATATCAGTTTGTTCATTTCATCGCAGTGGTGTTCATTGTTCAAAGAAAGCCATTACCTGTGCGCCCTCATCAAAATCACATTCCAAAATACATGAAAATCACTAAAAATAGTTAAAACCACCATTATATTGATTCCTAATATTTACTATCTGGGTACATGAGGCCATTCGAAACAGACCAAAAGTGCACTACAACGCACCTGCCATTGTACTACTACTAGCTACTACTACACCTACAACTACTGTACTAATTAACACCGTGATCAATGCCGCTACCCTCACCATTGCCATTGTGGCCGCCGTCCTACTCCGACGAGGAGTCATCCTCGTCCTACATGATCGTGTTGGGGGATGGAGGTTTGAGCCTACGCTTCTTGTAGCGCGGCATGGGGGGCGAACCCCGATGGAATGGTCTCGGTGATGTTGTCCACCTCCTCCATCGACGTCTCCTCCTCTGCCACCAGCGATGCCTCCTCCTCCATGTTGTCGGCGGGCTCCTCCATCGGCAATGGATACTCCTCGCGCTCAAGGCTCGGCGTCGATTGATTCACCTCCTCGCCGTCCTCGTCTTCATAGTTGGTGGAATACTTGCCGGATGACCAGTGCCCCATTGCTCGCTCTATGCTGTAGTCGCCGCTGGTGAGTAGGGATTGTAGGAGGTGATGTGATGGACTGGTAAGTTGAGTACGTACGAGAGAATACCCCAGTCGGTGGTGCTCTCTATAGCCTACTGATCATTTTAAAGAGGAGAGCCGAGCAGTTTCTCTCCCACAGGACATGATGCTCAAGGCTTCATGTTGGTTGGCATCCCCCATTTCACATTGGCTCCTGGGTTTGGAAATAATGTACATTTAATCCACCGAGTAATCTAAATCGTGTCGTCGTTGCGAGTTCCCATGCCAGGTTGCAGAGTGTATTTAAGAATTCCCACTATAACCCCTGCTCAGCTGCCTCCCCTGCCTCCTCCTCAATCATCCTAAGTCGACAGCACCGCTCTGCCTCTCTAGCCCTCTTTCTCACTACCATCCACACGCCGTAGCTCAATCCACGCTGGCATTCTTGTTGCTGATGGCACTCCCTACCGACGTGCAAATTGAGATCGACTCCCACCTCACTGCAACCTCGAATTGGCCCATGGATGACCTCCACAGCCTACAGGCGACCTACTCGTCCATGCACCACATCTATGGTGACCCCATCGTCGGTCAATGTCTGGCACTGGATCGGTTCAGGCGTGGGTGGATAGGGGCTGACCCTGTCTACTACTATGCCCTTTTTGCTAGCCTGACCCAAGTTGGTAACCCAGAAGCTTGCTTCCTTACTAGGATATGGACCATCTTCATGGAAAAGCGCAGCCCCTAGCCATGCATCGATGATCTCACCTGCGCCGCCGATGGTGGGCTCAATCTAGCGGCCTATCTGGTCACCATATTGCTCTATAGGCACAATGGTGGTGCCAGTGATGAAGACACTATGAGGCAGTACATGAGACGGGTCGAGGGCGAGGAAGAATCATGGGCGGAGGTGGTGAGTGGTGGGTGGTGGCTGCAAACCAATGAGTAGGTGGCTAAGCAACAACATGTGTGTGTTGTGCCACCACCCGACCGTCAAGGTGATCTACAATATGACATGGGGACGGTTGTCGCTGACACCGCTGGCATAGGTGCACGGTGATCTTCCTTGCGCAGCCGGTGTCTGTGGTGATACTATAGGTGAATGGGAACATAGGGCTCTGTATTGCCGCAAGGACTATAGGCTTAGTCAAGAAATCCATTTTTTGAATGGGAATTTGGAATAAGAGACTAGTAATTCACTCTTTTCGTGCGAGAGTGAATTACTCCCTCCATCCTGAAATGTAGTGTATTCTGGCATTTGAAATTTGTCCTCAAATATAGTGTATTCTGTAGCTTTTGATTTCCTGTTGCTTTTGCTTTTCTGTTGTTTTGTTTCAATTATATTTGTTTCCTTTAGGGATTCAACGAAAGTACTAGTACGAAATAGGTTTCCCTATATAACATGAGATGTGTCTGGCCTGGTCAGATTTACAATGCTCGGACTTTCTTGTGTGTGCAGTAAAATTTGAATAGCTATGTGGCTCCTCCATTTGGCATTAGATCGATACGAGACAGGATCGGATGAATTCTGTTATGCATGTTTACCACACTACAGATCAGAAAGTGAACCAGAAAGAAACCTGCAGGCAAAAACAACCAACAAGGGCTAGAAAACGGCTACCAAATGACCCCTGGTTCAGTAGTAGTAGTCATGAGTGGCTTTGATCTGTGTTGAACCCAACTCATCTTATTTTTGTGACTGCTTCAATGTTCAGTCTGTAACTCATCAGTCTTCAGCCTTCAGTCTACTCCTTGACTATCATGACCGCTTGCGTGCTCCTGCATTCCTATGTAGATGCATGCGTGGGTGGCATTAGTAGCCTATTGCAGCAGGGACATCGCCTCATGACCCGTCGCATTGATGAGACACGGCCAAGCCGCACCGCCAAACCACGCAAACTTCTTATTGCTCGTTGGTCATGGGGTGGTACTTTGTATTAGGTGAGTTGAACTCTGTTGAGCATGGTGTAGCTCAAGTCATTTGGTTTCTATTTGTTTTTTTGTTGCCTTGGTGTCTTTGTCAATCTTTGTTGAACA